AAACTTCCTTAAGCTTTTACTTCTCGTAACTTTGATTGCCTTTTTTTCTGTCCCTTCACTGGAGGCTAGAAAGAGAGGAAGGAAAAAAGTAACAAACACAGGAGCAAACCTAGGAAACCCACCCCTCCAAGTAGACCTCAAAAGACTAGAAGACTTAGTAGATCAAAAAATTAAGGAAGTTTTTGAAGCTCAAAAAAAATCAGACAAAGCATTTAAAGAGTATAACCCCAAACTTGAAAAAGTAACACATGCAGCATTGAAAGCATACAACAATTTTCAAAGAAAATTCCGTTTCCTATTTTTTAGAAAAAAAATTCAAGAAAAAATATTTAAAGAATTTAAAGAAGCTGAAAAAAAAGCAGATGAAGCAAAAGACGAAGGTTTAGATGCTCAACTTCAATTAAATAAAGCTATATCTGAAGCAAGGCTTGAAATTCAAAAATTTGAAAACGCTCTAAATTCAGAAAAAAAAAAAGCTGAAAGTGATCAAGATAAAAACAAAGAAAATAAGATTAAACAAAAAATTCATGAATTAAAAGGCTTAAACAAAACATTTGAAAACGAGATCGAGAAGAATGAAGAAAAAAACAAAAAGATACATCAACAATATCAAAGCCACTTAAATGCTCTACATACTCAAGATAAAGCAAATACGGCCGAAAAAACCGCAGAACACGCAAGGAAAAAAGCAAACCAAGACCCAAAAAATGCAATTTTTGAAACAATCGCAAAAACAGCAGAAGAAGATTTTCGCAATACTCAACTTGACGCATACCATAAATACTGGAACTTAATTCGAGATGAAGATAAAAAGTATCTGCAGATTATAAAGGAAATCATACTTAGCATCCGGGATCAGTCTTTTTTAATGATTACGACGTGGGCTTTATCATGCATCCTCTATTTTGTTTTGTTTAACTCACTCATTTATAACAATATCTTACCCCCAGTTATCGATTATCTCTCTATAGATGTGCAAGGGTTTAAAACAAAAGGTACATGGCTTCAAGAGCTCTATCAGGCATATACGTCAGAAATTCATCAGAAAAACTATCCTTTTCTTAGCGCGTTTTTTGGAGTTTTCCCAGTTTCCCTAGGTCTTCTTCTTGCCCTCAAGCCTAAAGATCCGAGTGCCAGTTCCTCTTCCGGTGCAGGAGCGGCATCCACACCCGGCACCCCTGTCCCTCCCATTGTTCCTGTAGCGGCATCCACATCCGGCACCCCTGTCCCTCCCATTGTTCCTGTAGCGGCATTCACACCCGGCACCCCTGTCCCTGCAGCGAAATATACATTGGCGGAATTGATATGGAAAATTTCTCGTCTAATCAACTTTTTGTTGTCCTATTTTGGTTTTTGGTTTATTGCTCAGGGCGTTGCCGAGAAGCGTTTGACACACTTCAAACTCTTTTCCGGGGATGGATCTATGAAGGATACAAGTTTGAAACCCTCGATGCCGATTTCTAATCTTCTCTTCTCTGCGATATCCCTGATGCTTTTTTATAAAGATAACTACTTGCCTGGGCTACCTTCGTTTCTAAGAGACCTATTTGGACTTTCAGAACCAGAAAATAAGAGTAATTTTTTTGTTCAATTCTTTACATTCATATATTTCGCCTCTTTGGTGATTCACCTTGTTTTCGATATTGGATTCAGGATTGTTTTTGATTTCATGTTGTCCCAAAATTTCGTTTCCGAAGCGATTCTTAGTCTCCTTTTCTTTTTAGCC